CCTTTTTAAGTGGGAAAACTTGCACAATTGGTGACTGACTAAATACTTATTTTCCCCACTGTATTTGTCTTTACTACAGAGTGAGGACCTTTTTGTTTCATAGTTGTTATCAAAGTGAGGTCTTTGATACAAATTGAGGACCTCTTCAATGTCTTCACTTTATTTACAGCTCTGCTGTGCTTCACTAGTTCGGTTCAGAGGTCTGGTGTGGATTAAGTTTTGGTTGAGGTTAGGAATAGACCAGTAAGTGTTAGTTTTAGAGAAAATGTCTGTGTTAGACAGAAATACAGTTGCAAGTCAATACAAAGTCCTCAGTTTGATGCAAGTACAAAGATGTGTGTGTGGTCTTGTTTTTCCTACATCATGGGGACAATTTTCCTGAAAAAAAAAAAAAAAGCCTTGTGGGGACCAATGCCCAGTCCCCACGTGTTCAAATGCAAATTATGGGTGTGGGGTTAGGTTTAGGATCAAAGTGTGAATTGAGTTTAGGTTAGTTTTAGGGTCAGGTGAGGTTAACGTTAGGGTAAATGGTCAGGGTTAGGATACAAAATTGCCAGAAAATGAATGGAAATCAATGCACGGGCCCCACTGGGATATAAAACAAACCTGTGTGTGAGAGAGAGAGCACTTAAAAGGAGATTTCCCAGTTCAAGCAGAACACAGGCAGTAACTGGTACAGCCTCGTCAGAGGGGCCAAACTTCTCCAGAATCTGGGAATGTGTGGTTCACATTTTCTCATGTCTTTCAAAATAAATAAATATATTTTTCAAATTGAAAAGTCCAGACTAACTCCTAAAAGGAGATGGAAATAAATGAAATATTCACTGTTAAAGCTCTTAATGACTTTATCCATTTCTTTAAATGATATTTTTAAGCTTCTGTTGTTTGTGTGCCCCTCATCAGAAAAAAGCCAAAGGAGAAGAACTGTTTGAGCAGATCATGTACCTTCTGGACATCGTGGAGAAAGACTACTTTGGACTGCGTTTTATGGATTCGGCACAAGTTCCGGTAAGAACTGTGGCCCTTAATTCGATAAAATAACTAATTATTTAAACATTTTGTCATCAAATGTTAACAGAAATATCTAAAGTCTCTAATGAACGTTTACAGTCACGACGTCATTCCTGTTGTATTTGTTTCAGATATTTCTTGATCAGACTTTTTGATTTCTGTCCAAAATCATTCGTCACCTTTTTGTAGCAGAGCTTAATTTCCCTTTTGGTGAATGGCTTTAAAGGATTCATTAAGGGAGATTTGTCAGCACCGGGTGTCACGCTGGCTCGTTACACAAACTGTTTTAAGTCAGTCGCCCCGTTCGTTCACAGAAACTCTGTGAAGCCGCTGACGGAGGTGGAGGGAAAGACGAAGCCAGGAGCAGGGCGGAGAGCTGGTTTCAGCTGAGGGAGTGTGGACGAGGGAGGGAGGGATGTAAGAAGGAATGTGGGGGAGAGGAAACTAGAAAGTGCTGCGAGTTCCTCCGTTATCTTTGTGTCTTTCTGTCTCTGCTCACTCATAGGTTCAGTGGCTCCCTCCCGCTGACATTGTTTGTTCCTCCACAGAGAACAGATACACATATCTGGTGACTTCACTAACAATCATGATGACGTGTAAAAGTATACATTTAAAAACACCTGAATGGGTACAAGTCTTATACGAATTTCAAAACGGAAATCAAATTAAAGTTGTTTGGACATTTCTTCCTCTACAGCGTCAAAAATGCAAAAATAGAAATTCCAGAAGGAAATGTTTGGAGATTTTGCAGGGTCAGTGCTCACTATCGCCCCCTATGTGTTTTATGTACAACATCTTAACCCTATTTAGAAACGTATCCACAGTTAACGTTTGATAATGACCTGTTTTAAATTGTGCCCTGTGGATTATGAAGCATGTTTAAGAGCACTGGGCCTCATGCAAGAACATGTTCGTATTCTTATCCTAAATTTCTCTTACTTTTGTTCGTATGAAGGGTTCGTACGAACATGTCACGTCAGATTCAACAAACTCTTCTATCTTCAGGAAAAGTGTGTAAATGAGCTGCGTAAACTGATGAATGTGTATCAGGTATAATTAGCATAATTATCACTCTAAAAACACCATATAAGGTTATACGTTCCTGCCCCACATACCAGGAAGTGTCC